GCGTATGTGATAATTGCACCGCTATCAACCTACCACACATTACAACTCTCATTTATCAATTCTACCTCCACCAACATTAGCTCAAACCGACATTCTCCCATTTTCCGTACATGTGCACACGCACACATTCATGCACACACTTTGTATTATTCATGTCTTCTGTGTCAGAGCAAAACAGGATGATGTCAGTTGTTGTTTTAACGTCTCCTCTACTCACTGACCTCTACTTGTCACCATCTTTCCAATCAAAACAAAAACATGTTGTGACTAAAGTGCATCAGTGCGAAGTTGGCATCTTCTTGAATTGAAGTAATAGTTTATAATTTCGGGAAGTAAACTTAGTTCTTGCCAAAAGATGAGAAATGCGTTGAGAAGTGCTTCTGTGCATTGAATGCAGACCTGCAGTCTGGAGGCAATTAACCTATCTTAACATAAAACACCCAGCTACTTTTTGCCAGGAACAACAATACAGGACATAACTCCCTGTGAACCACAAATAGTCTGATGCGGATAAAACAAAAAAAGATATGTGTCATTTAGTGAGTTTTAGAGGTATTTTTAATAGTATTTTAGAACTTTGGACAATGCCAGGCTAGCCGCTTTAGCTCCATGCTAAACACAATTTAACTCTTGCCAAATATTCCTTTAAAGCGATTGACATTATCATTAATATTAGATGTCAGAACTCTTCAACAGCTCTTGAATGCTCCGACCAATGCAAAACACTGTTCCTATTAGGAAGAATCTGAGTTTTGATCCCTGTTTTGATGTTTTAAGAATTAAAAGAGTTTGTGCCTCTGACACTGCATGGTTACCAGTTTGATTCATACTTGAGCCACATGTTAGATTTTAGTGTGCAGTCATGTTGCTGCACACTTGTTTAGATAGAGGCTTCTCTGCAAGCATAGTTTAGTTTTGTTCTAACACTTAATACAACACTTTGTGATTCCAGAAAACCCAGTGTACACTGTACAGCTACTAAGTGAACACGCAGGGGTATTATAGTCAGGAAGCCGCAGAGACGCTGAAAACACACAATGCGCTCATTGCCTTGTACTGGCTTGCCCTAAATGAAGAATGATATAGGTTTCTTAAGTGGACTATTTCTTTAAATTTAAAAGAGACAGTGGGGACATATTTGATATTTGTAGCTTTACGGAAGACGACACTGAACTGTTTACCTGGTACTCAAATGTAACTCCATTTATAAATTACCTTTCGTGTCAAAAAGCAACAACACACCTTGTGATCTAAAAATAGCCTTTTTTTGTTCTAGAGTTTTTATTGCTGTCTGCGAGCCAACTAACAGCATTTTGAGACAAGACGCAACCATGTTCAACTTAGTGTGAGAGGGGAAGAGGAAAAAAAGAGACATGACTGTGGATGAGAGTGGAGAGGATGGAAGGGGATGAGCAGAAGTGGTCAGGGGAGAGGGCTGCTGGGACTATTTGCATTCAGCTCTTGTGGTGTAATAAAGAAGTGTGTTATGAACATGTAACCTTGTTGGCATCGATTATGCTCCTCGCCTGTGCGGCGTTGATTGGAGGAGACCTCTCAACACAAAGCTCATACGTCAATGCTAAGTGGATTATTAAGCCATACACCTGCACTGGCCTCATTGCTCGCTTTCTCCTCTCTGCATCACAGTCATCTCTTACTGTGTACTCATACACATATCATACGACGTGACGTACATTACCAGTATTTTTGATCAATGGAAACAGAAAGTATCTGGTCGTTGTGATCATCTAAATGTCTTAAAGAATATAATATTTCTGATATGCATTCTGTAGTTTTCTTATTGTCAACAAATCCCATGAAAAGACCAACAACCAACAAGTCAACCTCTCAATACGTTATGATTTCAAACAGTGTCTGAAATCCCCTCACACAATTCAAAGTCTGTGTCTGGCAAATATTGTAATTTTCCAAAATGACAATACAGCAATTGTCCTACTTAAAGCAGCAGTTGGCTAGATGTAAGGTGGTGAGATGAGAGGAGGTGAGAAAGTATGCTGGTTTTAAACTTCTGTTTCATTTGCAACAGATAGAAGCACTTCAGCCTTTAGACATGGTTGAGCAACTTTTCGTACAAACTACAGGGCTTAAAGCAAGACATTTTTCTGTGCCTGAAATGTGTTCGGGCTTTACGACAAAGATTGGGGAGGGGGTGTGGGGGGTCCTCCCCCTGAAGATTTTGAGCAGTAAACACTTCATTTCCTGCATTCTGGTAACATTTTCTGCCACCACCTATAATCAGTGCTTGAAGTGGAAAATATAGGTGCTGGGCGATACGGCCGGAAATGTTACCACGATAAAACATTTTGTTTCATTCAATATCGATTATTATCATGATAAATGTCAAATCATTATTTCTTTCAAGTTTAGAGGCAGATTTTTTCTCCTGAGTGAAAGTTGAAGAAACCAGATGGTTAATTGTGGTTTTAAACTTTTTTTTTTATGGTTAGAATAAACACTTGATGCCAAACAGTGGATCACTTAACAAATCTGAAGCAAAACATTCAAAACTATGATGATTATTAAGTCAGATCTTTTTTTGAGTCCCTTTTCCTTAACAAAATAAAAAAATTTGAGTGCTAATTTGTTCGTGATTCAAATGAAATAAATATACATTTGTATTATTGTTACTGTGGAAAAATTTATCACGATAATTATCCATATTGTTTTATTGCCCAGCCCTGCTGGTACCCCCCATTCACATCCTCTAATTAGTTAATGCTAAGTACTAACTCATCACTAATCATCCATGCAGAACAACAAGTTCAACATTTTAAAAGTTTACTGTAACGTTAGCGCAACAAACTTTTAATGTCCCGCCCCATCCAGGCTGTGATTAATCGGTTCACGAAAAGTTACTGTGACAGCTACTTCATGCTCACGGCTGCTCCCGAGCCTCTACCTGCTCTGTCTCCACCGACAGAGATTAGCAGACAGGCAAGAATGGGAACAAATGAGCGCCACATAGAGCCCACCTGTACGCAAAAAGGTCCCGGGACCCAAAACAGTAAAATGTAGAAGTAACTTACTGGTATCGGTGGCCCACGTCAAGCTCTGCCTATTATCAAAATTGGCACCACTTATCTTTGAAGCCGGAGTCCATCGGTTGATCACATTCCGACAAAAATGGCCTTGTTAAGGTCCAGACGATCCAATCCAGTAAAATAATTAGTCCAAAATGCATTATTATTTCAATAAATACACACTGACTGCTCTTACAACGTTTTATATTAGCCTAACTACAGTTAGCATGTAAACAAAAAAAGCATCAACACGTTGACCTTTTGAGTGACACCTTAATTGACCCAATAGAAACTTCTATGCCCTGTTCACAGCCTATAATGGCCAATAAGTGTCCACGTATAGCGAAGTGCCAGTCCCCTTTCTTTCACCGACAGAGCCACCGAGCCACCAATTGTGCAGAGGAACTCTTTACACACACATCGGGCAACAGTCAAAAAAAAGAGGCACAAATATTTTCGACAGACAATAATATAGTCGAATACAAAATCGCCCAACACTGGAATTCCGGCACAACACCTGAGAACTAGTTTGTTTCAAGTACGCCTCAGCCTTTAGCGCCAAGTTCCTTCACTGGTAGTGAAGAGGTGAAATCTTTAAAAATAGGTCTAAAAATACATAATTCCAGTAATCCAGTTAATCACGCATTTGGTGGGGACTATTTTCAGCCACAGATTGATACATATACTCACATGCGCTAGTGACTGTTTACAGCAGCAGAACTGTGTATGTATCGACTTAAAATAAACGACAATGCCCAGGTTCATTAAAATGAATGAATGTGATACCCAAGTGTAACAGTGGCTTGTTGTGTGTTTGTAGTGTTTGGAGCACAAAATGCTCTATAGCACAGGAGAATAAGATATATCAGGTTTGGATACACAAACAATACTTGTTAGTAGTTAGTACTTGTAGGATCAGTTACAAGCTGCTTTTAGTTTTTACTTGGATTTGTTAAGACTAAGAAAAATAAAACTTACCTTATCCTTTAGATATATATTTGGCATTTGTGGTATCAGTGCTTGCTTAAAAGTAGGGTAACACAGTATGTCTAAAATAGCCACCTAAAATGATTGGTTGCGCACAATTACAACTAACAACAAATTAAATACAGAGCTTTCTTTACATGTAATAGGTACATACAGGATTAAATCACATACATGGCCCTCTTTATTTCTAGATTTTGACTAACAGCAGGTAATATGTTTGTTTTTTTTCTTTTAAACACGGGATGCTTTGTAAATAAAGTAATAAGTTTGATTTTCTGACACTGACGTAGAAGAAAAACATGCACTAATGACTGACATTTTTCATCCTGCTACAGAATGAGTGCTGAAAGTCTAGTTTGTTAAAATGAGGGTTATGGTTGCAGGGCTTTGGTTGGAGCCCAAACGGCAAAGCTTGGTCATATATTTTAATGATCCTTGCTCCCTGAACGAGGGGCTGTATTTACTGTCCGGGACAGAGTTTTAATGCCAGCCCTTTTAAATTAGTCTGAACCCGCAATCTCATGCACACAGACACACACGCTTAGTTAGCATTTGATCCGTCAGTACTCAAAGGACTGATGGATAGATTTCTAGTGATATAACATATGGTGTGGCTTCATCATTGAGCAGCGTAATTACCTTTCATGTTGTGTTTACACTGACTGACTTCAAAGTCTTTGTTTATTTTTTAGGAATATATGTTTTCCAAATCCTGTGCATCTTATTAAAAGCAGCATTATGCAGAGCCTGTCCCTTGAAACCATTATTTCTGCACACATTGCTTTGATACACGTACAGTATTGCTTTGAAGCTAACAGCTCTCTCTCTCTGTCCCTCACTCCCTACGTCCCTCGTTCCCTCTCTTGCTTTCTTTCTCCCCGTCATCTGTTTTTTCTTTCCACTACTTTTTTTATCCTCTGTTATCCTCTTCATCTCACTAACTCTTCCCTCCCTCTTTCCTTATTTTGTCAGTTGGGCGTTTGTTGATCGAGTTCAGCTCCCAGATGACGATGGAACGAGTGCAGAAAGAAAACCCCAACGTGACGGAGGGCGGCCGCTACACGCCTCCTGACTGTCGGCCTAGATGGAAGGTCTGTGTATAACTAAAGATTATTAGTAACTAAGTCAAAATGTTAAGTTTCTAAGTCAAAATTGTGACATTACAAATTCAAAATATCTTACTAAAATATCAAAATCTTACTCCCTCATAGTTTGAATTTGTCATTTTTATTTTATCACATATAACTTTTCATCTATTTTTCCTTTTCCTGGTAGAAATGGGAAAAGCAAACCAGAATTCTGTACAGAAATGTGGTCGCTTTTTTCAGAGTGGAAAAAAAAAACAATTTAAGTGTTCGAAGTCTTTTTCCTCTTGCTAACACTTCGCTGAGGTCAGGGTGTTTCCTTGAGTAGCGAAGATAACACCAAAATAGGTGCACTTGTCATAACAATGACTAACCGTACAGAAACCAAGGTCAATTTGCTGCCAGTCTTCATCTGAGTGCAAAATTACCGTGAATTTACACAGTAAATTACTATTCAACCTTGAAAGGTTTTGACACGTGAGAATGACTCACTATAAGCACAGAGATACAAGACGACCTCAGATCTGTCTTAGATCTACAATGCCATTGAAAGGTCCTTCCTTGAACTGCTTCATTCATAAATAATGAGCACCAACTTTGTGTAAACTGTGACATTAACCAGGGAAATGATGTTCTGGTGCAGAACAGTTCAGCATAGGATGAAACAAAGCTCATTTAAGCATAATTGCTCAAAGAAACACTCTTCAGAGATCTGAAAGAGGCACTGTCTCATAATCTTTGTCAACAGAAAAGCTTCAGAGCAGCGCACCTTGACGGATCATACTCAATTTTCTTTGCCAGCATTGATTTGATTATGCATTCGAATGGCTCCCCAACTCATTGAAATGTGGTAATGTTTTATTGTAAATGTTCCTGTTAGATACAAACAAATTACCAGTTGAAATTCCCAAACAAATTACCATCTCTGTTGTTTAGGTGGCCATCATCATCCCGTTCCGTCACAGAGAAAACCACCTAAAGTACTGGCTCCACTACCTCCACCCTATCCTCAGACGGCAGAGGATTGACTATGGCATCTACATCATCAACCAGGTAGATCATGCAAGACCTCCTCAGCCTGAATGCACAAATATTGTAAAGTAAGACCAGGACCTTCTGGCTACATTTACCAATTATTTTCATTGTGGGTTAATCTGAGGATTATTTTTGTCTTGAGAATTTGTAGCACAATTCTATAACATAAAGTTTGAAAGAAAGTCAAGGCTGAGTTGAGTGGCCTCCAGCAGCTAACTCATGCACAGGCTCCACGAGTGGTCAGCCAAATAGTGTACATCAAAGATGTTCTTGTTAAGGTTTTGTTATTTGTGGTTGGTCCAAAAAAGGAAATGATCTCGAGGAAGAGCCTTAACAGTTCTCAGCACAAGACAAGTGGGTAAACGGATGTAGGCTCTCTCTCAGTCCAGCTGAAGCTCAACAGATTTGACAACCCAATGCTGCTTCACAGGAGAACCAGTGGTAGAGAGAGAGGGAGTCAAATCAAATCAAGTTGATTTATAAAGCACATTTACAACCAAAGTTGTCCTGAGTGCTGTACAATAAAATAACATAATGAGATAACATAACATGGTAAGCAGCATAACAGTATTATCCCATACATAAATAATTAAGTAAAGGAACAGATGGAAAATTTAAAAGCCTTAAGAACAGTCAAAGTCCTGAGAAAACATGGAGGGTGTTTACGTCATGAAGACGGTTGTATGATCAGGTTCTTGTGCGAGGATTAAAATACTGTCATTGACAATATAACACCACATTGAATTTATGTTTAATTACACTGATCTTTGGCTGATGTGAGACGTTGTTTGTTTTGCACCAGCTCGGATATATACGAGCTTTCAAAAAACATCCCAGTACAGTATTACAACTTGCAAGTTGACGTGAACACTATTAATTCAGAATATTACAGTAACGCCAAAATGGCATGAATAATACATTAATACACAGTTAATGATAAGTCCTGCCCACTACCAGCCAGCCAAAAAGTGATACTATGAGCCTACAACTCATACTAACATAGTCTATTAACTCTTTGTAGGTGGTCAGAAAATAGTGAAATTTGACCATCACAATTTCACAGAGCTCAAGAGGATGTCTACAAAGTGCTTGTTTTGTTCAGTGATATAAAAAAGCAGCAAATCCTCACATGTAAAAAGCTGCAACCAGCAAACGTAATTGCTAATTCATTTTGTGTACTAATCAGTTGGCTAATCGTTTCAGCACTACCTGGATCTCTTCCTCAGTATACAGAAAATTTGAAATGATCACATTCATAATCTCTCTAAAAATTTAGAGAATTCAAATGTGAATTTCTCCTTTCTCAATCTTTAGTATGACATCACACGCAAAGTAGGTCATGGGTAATAAATATAATTTTTTTCTTGCAAAGACATTTGTTTTATGATAAACTGCATTACAGGCCAAGCAAAAGAGTTTAGGTATGTCAAATTACGCTATGACAAGAAGTAGACATGAACTAGATCTGTCAGCTCATGTTAAGTTCTGAGTAGTGAACCAATAATTAGAACACTGTTGCCACCATCAGGTATTTCAGTTTATTAATATGGCGGGGGAGAGTTTATAACTGCATGTAGAAATTGAGAACAAGTAAACCTCAACAGGCTGCCCTCCATCTTTCCACAACCCCAACTGATCTTCAGTGACTGATTCTTCTTACAACAAAAACCCATCTGCAGCATAAATCAGCAACATATTTACTTTCACTGCACTCAGTTCAGCAGAAGCACAAGGAGCGTGATTTTCTAAGCAACGCTGTGAGAGTGTGTGTGAGTCTACCATGCTGTGTTGGATGAGAGTTCTTCTTCCTCTACATTATCGGTAATGAGCTCTCCTTTCTGCCCTTTCTCTCCCCTGTGGGCCTTGCGCAACGCCTTAATCACTCCCCCTGTGGGACAGACCTTTGGTTCCGCCTGCCCTGCTGTGTTCTGCTTTTGATATGGCTATGTTCCAGTGTCTTACTGTCTTGCTTTTACACTTGTACACACGCACAAACACATATTCTCTCTGAGCATCTTAGCAATAATGAATCTTTCTTATCTCAAATGTAAAGATGCGACGGTGAGGGTGTGTAGAGCTGTTAGAGTGGGTGCTTTTTAACCTATCCTTCCCTTTCCTTTCATTTCTCTAGGAGAGTGGCTCAACTCTCTTTGAAATTTCCATCACTGTTACAAAACTTTCTAGACTTTCACTTTATCTTCACTTTTATCTTGAGGCTATGTAACTTGATCAGAAATCCTGGCACATGCCGGCAAGTTTAAATCTGACTTTCATTCATTTCTGTTTCCCGCTTGTCTCTGATCATGCTGAATCAAATCAAATCAAACATTATTTATATAGCACCTTTTATGCAAGATTACAATACAAGGTGCTTAAAAATACAATGAAAATGCAAGAATACAGTGAAATAAATCATAATATAAGTAAATAATATAAGGACATGATTATATAGGGATTAAGAGAAGACATGGTAGAGGAGGTTCTGTGAAAATGATATGATGATGATGATAATAATAACAACAATTTATTTAGCACATTTCAGATTATAAAATAGAGCAAAATACCAAAATATAATAAGTAAATAATATTAAAATAAATAGTAAAAATATTAAAATAAACTAATAAAAATATTGAAAATGGAAAAATAAATGTGAAGGCTAACAAATATAAAAGGCTTTTTTTTAGAAAGTTAGGTTTCACTCTCTGAAGACTGTTCAGCCTCTCATTAAAAGAACTGTAAATATCACTGCTCCAAACCTGTATCTCTTGTCTTGTATTTGTTTCTACCAATAAAAGTCATTATGTAATGCAAGATCACAAGGTAATATGATTTTACAGTTTGACAGCGACGTCATCACAGCTGCTGCTACATCGTCAACTCGTTCACCTGCACTTCAAACAGATACAGCTCCGCTGCCCGGCTGTAATTATCTGTAAAACGATCATCATTTCCATAACTGTTTGATTTAGAGGGGTTTGTCTGAAGTGGAAATTACTCATGTGTATTTTTAAAATGCATTTAAACTTGTTGAGATTCTTAAAACCAGATATATTCTCTCATGTAACCAGCTACGCAGGTGCATTGTGTAGTGGGGTTAATTTCTGCCTCGAGTTTTTAGATTAGTTTTGAAATGACCCAGAGATTACCAGTGATTTTAATACCACAGCTGGAGGGATCTACTTTAGTTCCACTACAAGTAATAATGACTGCAGAGTGTTCCCCTCTTTAAAACTGTTTCTTAAAGGACTGATTCATCAGCAACTGCTTATGGGTAAAAAAAACCTTTGGGTTTCTCCTTGATTGAAATTTGGATTTTATACTAAGTGGTAAGGAAGGGCATCTTGAGGTTATACATTTTTTATTCAGCAGTTGCACATCTAATATTATCATTGTGTTTCCATTAGCTCCAAATCGGAGCACTGCTGCTACACTTATACTCCCAGGATTTATGTTTGCATTGAGCTCTGGCCACATGCCAAATTAGTCTAAAGAATTTGGGACTTTGGGAACCACACGGTTTGGAGCCTGGATTTATAACATATTTTAAAATGTGTCCACCCATAGTGGAGTTTTTATGATGATCTTGTTGACAGCAGATCATAAAAGCTTTATGGCTATAGCTCCAAATAAAAAAAAATGAAAAAGGGCTCCCGATCTGTACCTGTAGGAAGGCCTAACTGTTTCCTTAATAAACAACACAAAACAAAACAAACAGGGGCATGTATAAAAAATATCTTTCCGTTAGGTTTTCATCCTGTTACTTTGTTTCAAATGCTCAAATCTACCCGTGTAGAGAGAGGTTATGCACGACACATGGATATCAAACTACCAGACAAGCTGAGCGGAAGTCAGTGGTGAAGTGGACAGTGAAGCAGGTAGACTAGAAACAGGACAGACAAGCGGGCAGATTGAGAGCAGCTGAATCAAAGAGACAGAGGTGGGATTTTGATGACAAGAAGTCCTGATGTATCTGACACGATGAGCGATTAAACCTTTACACCCAGTGCCACTTACTGAGAGGACGGCGGAGAGCACTTTTCTATTGCGCTCGCTCGAGTATAAAATGAGTGGAAGTCTGAACCTTTTAACATAGAGCCACTGGAGGGGGATGCAGGTAGTGGGATGAGCAGTGATAATTTTCCCCCTCCGGTCTCATCCTTGCTAACAGATAGTGGCTGTCATGTCCTTAGAGTCAAAACAGTCACTTTGTGGAAGAGAAAGGCCCAATGGTAGACGGTACAAATGCCCTGGGATCACCTTCACTTCACACACATGCACGCAAAAACACACATGCATGAACACACACACACATATACAAATTAATGTCAGTGTTTCCCACGCATAGGATATACTTAGGCCTGTCCAAGTATATTCAAGCCTGTCTAAGTAACGTTACATTGACTAGCAGTGTGGAGATTACACCAAACTGATGATGTTTTGGAAACCTGATAAAATAAGAGTCAGAGATCCAGTATCAGGCCAGTGTTAAAGTGAAATGTGTAAATCAAAGAGCAAACAACACGGGCAAGCTTCAGCCACTCAGAGCTGCAGACATCACACACGATTGATCACGCGTGCACACACACACACACACACACACACACGCATCAACACAGCACTCAGTCATTTTAACCTGATGGTATGATCTCTGCCTGTCATCACAGGAGATTGATGGCACACACATCACACACGCACGCATCAACACAACACTCAGTCAGTGGGTGGAGTGCACGTGGCCGAGCAGCGTGGAGAAAAAACAGACGGCACAGTTGAAAGAGGAATGATGGAGCTGAGAGGAAGCACATTAAAAGGAGAAAAACCCTGGAGGAAGGTGAAGTGAAATGCTACAGAATTACCGGTACGTTCACAAGCAGATATGGTTAGTGCTTAAAAAAACAACCAAAGAAACATGCTAGCAGGGCTATAAGCAGCGGGCTACGTATGTTATTTGGGGTGAGAGAGAGAGAGACCACGTACGTGTCAGTAAATGCAACTTTCAGCGTGTGTATCGATAACAGATAGTGCACATCTTTAAAGTATGATTCAGTTTTGTGTAAAATTATACCCTGCACTGTAATAGCACAATACATGAAATAATTGCCCTCCAAAAAGGACCTCCCTCTCACTTGGCTTCCACAAAAATTTACCCCACCTCATGCCACTGCTCAGTGCACCATGATGTCAGAGCTACCCTTCCTGAGTTGATTCTGTAAGAAACATGCTATTTAGTAAAGCAGCAGTCAGAGCTATGGGGAAAGGCCACGTGCAAAAATTTACAGACAATGATTCCCTCCAGCGGCTCTAAATACAGTCTTTTTGACTATATTTAGAGCCGCTGGAGAATTTTGGGTTCAGAATTTTGGGTATGGAGATTCATTCGCCACCTTTGAAACCACATACTTGTGGTAACATATTCTTGACCCAAGGTTACTGCCGTTTTCCAGTCCTTTCAATCATATCTTCGGCAGTGAACAGAATTTGCTATTCCCTCCCCCGTCCCCAGTCTGTTTTCAGGAAGGTTATTTTATCATTGAACAGAGAAATATGCAACTCTTGTTATCATGTGACAGAGGTTTCATACTTAGTAAGTCACTGAAAAAGGTAGTTGGATATGGTTGAAACTAACTGCAACTAATGTCACTTTATCCGACAATTTCTTTCTCGAGTAATTGTTTTTTTTTGCTTAAAACATGACTTAAATGATTATTTGACTAGCAAAATTTTTGGCAGTTCATTTTGTCTGTCATTTAATTTCTTAGCACTTTATTGTATTTGCCAGGAAATGGTTTAATAATAGCAATGATTTATTGAAAAGGGCACATGTCAGAGGCTCAGCTGCTAAAGAGCACCACAAACCGCTTGTCATTTATTCTTATTGTGGCTGAATTCACATGAACATTACTTCAGATTGGAGGCTGTTTTGTCTGCTTGCTGCACCATCCTGCCGCCTTTGTTTTGTCTCAACCGGACATTTTTAAGCAGCTATCATCTCACACTAAAAAGTGGTGCTACTGGTGAGGTACGGTGAGTAGGCGTTGCAGAGGGATCATGCGGAAAGTTATATAGCAACCTTGCTGTTCTGCCCTGCTGCTCTGTGTCCTCTGTGCCTGCCGAGGACCGGGGCCAATGTTTGTTTGTTGGCCATCGGCTCATCATGTAAACTGGAGAAAAGCCCAGAGAGGGGGACCGAACAAAAAGAAAAGCAGGTGAGAAAGAGAGGGTGAGGGAGGTAGGTGAGCGACAGAAGTGATGAAGAAAGAAGAGCCATCTGCTGTTAGGATTTTTATGGCTATATTCAGGTCGAAAAAAGCTGGATGATATTATTGATTTATAACGTCTAGTACGCTGCAGCTATGGGGAAGTCTATAAGGCAAAAGTCACGTAATATTCTGCCTTTTGTCGTTTCTTCTCCAAAATCTTCAGTGGTGGGAGAAGTACAGAGATCCTTTACTTAAGAATAAGTACCAGCACAACAATGTAAAAATATTCAATTAAAAGTAAAAGTCCTTCATTCAAAATTATTTTAGTATGGTATTATCAGCAAAATATACTTCAGATATCAAACGTAAAAGTAATGGTTCTGCAGCAAGAAGGCCCCTGTGTGTGTGTGTGTGTGTGTGTGTGTGTGTGTGTTGTGTGTGTGTGTGTATGTATATAACATTATTATTATTATTATTATTATTGTTATTATGATGATGATGATGATGATGATTGTTAATACTGATGCTTCAGTGTGTAAGCAGCATTCCTATTGGTCCTAAAAACTCATAGACATCTGAAATGTGACAAATGGTCCCAACACTGCTTTTTTGTAAGAGGTCACAGGACAAAAAGGTTTGTGTGTGTGTGTCGTGGCTCCAGTCCAAATGCAAAATACGAATATTCTAAATCAGTTGTAATTGCTAAAGAAAAATACACTGCTTAGGCAGTAACTAAATTTGGAGGTGCTTTTGAGTCTAAAGTTGTCTTAGTCTCTTTTTTTGTGGGATTTTTGCACCAGCAGATAATCGAGAGGATAAAAATGAAAGCAGGATAAAATGCCACATACTGACATCTGGTGTCAACACACACAACAGTAAAATCTTTCTCTGGGCCCCTGGCTCCACTAATCCACCAAGATATGACCCACTACCTCCTTTCTCCATCTGCCACCCCGCCATCCCCTCATACACACACACACTTGGACTTTCCAGCAACTGCATCTGTCTAGATTCTCGGGTTATGTTGTAGCGGAAGGAGAATCCAGTCATCCTTCACGCAGTTTGTGTCTTCTTATTCACGCCTACACTTCAGTTCCAACAGTGTCCGGCACTGAGTGGACACCAAAGGATCAGGTTGGATTAAGCTCTCTGTGTTTTTGTCTGTATTTGTTTGGGCTTGAAGGTCACGCTAAGGCGGGCCGGGCAGTTCATTGGTCTTGGAATGGCCAGAGAGCCTGCTAGTTTTTCTGTGCAAGACTGCCAAAATATTTCTGGGTGCACCAACCTCTGCATTTTACTGGTTTATCTTTGTTGTGCTTGTCTTTGTTGCGTTGCTGATGTGCTCATTTTATCAAATTTCAAGAGACTCGTGTGATGCCACCAACTAAACTGAAGCAAAAATGCTACAAAACGGTCCATCCTTTTTTAAATTTCAGATAAGAATCCAATTGCTGTTATTTGACTGCCAGCGCTGCAGCTAACAATTACTTTCATTATTAATTAGGCAATCAATCTTTTGGTCCAGAATGTGTCTGAATTAATTAATGGGGATCGATGCCCAATTCTAAAAGGACCTGTTTTCAAAATTTCTCAAAACCCGAAAATCAATAAGGTTATAAGCTTATCGATACTGCGATTGAGACTAGCGGGTCCTATAATGTAACGTTATGTGTCGAGTGTCAAATCTGATTTAACTTTAAACACAATAGATAAGAAAACTAATGTTTTTTTAGTGATGACACCGAAACACGGCATCAAACGGGCCCGGGACTCTTTATAGTCAGGCTGCAGCCCCTGTTGCTCTCTGTCGGCTCCTACATACACACAGCAGAGCGAGATGCCGTGCCATTGCGGTGGAGACGGTGAAGTTAAGTTAGCTCCAAACTATTCAAGTTGCCGAATGCTCCGCTCGTTACTGTAAGTGTGTGCACAAAAACTTTTGTGAGTAAAAAGATAATACAATATCAATACACCTGTGTGTAGGTTAAACGTGTAGAAAGGGTTCTCTGCTCTGTCCTCAGTCTCTCAACCTGTATGTTTTAAACAAACACAACTAACGTTAGCTTGGCATTAGTCAAATGTTACAAACAAGCTAAATGGAAAGCTGTCTGTCTGTAATATACACTGGTCTGTAGTCTTAAAATTTGGCACATTGTTGTAAACCAGCCGCTCTGCCTTCTACCAGGCAAGAGAGGAGGAGGAGGAGGAAGGACTGAAACAGTTTTCTTTCTAAATGTCACTCAGTATTGTCAGATATCGAGTTTATTTGCTGTTGTAAACATTAATGTTGCTGCTCTAGAAACAACATTTAGTTGTATTTAAAATATTAAATTCTAATCCTACAATTAATTAAAAAACAAGCAGTTAATATGCACACTTCAATATTTATTTATTTATCGCAAGTCATATGTCATCTCAATATAAACACAATGTTATCGAATATTTTCCTCATACAGGCCAATCTCATGTCCGTTGGGTCTGGTCGTGCTATTATATATAATAACTGTCACCAAATAAAGTATCGATAGTGGTATAGATAAAGACTCAGATCATTAAGTAGTCTCTATAATGGTATAAATATCAATAAAAATTAATGATCCCCATCCCTTTCCATCATGATTTTTTGTAGGGGAACTCAGGGATTTTATGCATCAAAGTCTGTTGAATTTCTTCAAGCGATGTCACTTGAGTCAACATAGTTTGTGGCTGAGTTGGGGGGTATGGAGTTAGAAAGAAGTGACCTTACCAGACCCCTGTAACCCGCTCCTCATCTCTGCTTGACGCTACTAACATAACCATGGATGTATAAAAAGATCTTTATGCCAGACCAAAAGATATCGCCTATTTAGTTCAGTATGAATTGCTTGCCTGGCACATAAAACCATGGTACCCACATTAAAAAACTCTCAAAACTGCATTTCGTGGCACAAGAACAGCAGTATTATAAGTTACAGTTGTGACTTTTCTCCTCCAACATTTCCGCTCTTTTGGCGCGAAATGCATTCTGGGATACCTGGCTATTCGAAGTCCACACAAGTCACCACCGATGCAGGCTCGGTAAAATGGCCGAAGCGAGAACACATCCGGGTATTTGACTGTACTTGGCTGGATGCGGACTTTTGATTTGGAACAGTACTTCGACTGATGACGTTTCACAAGTCCACAAGAACACAAGTACAGACAAGAACGCAGATTGAAAAACAGCAGGTCTTATTGTACATCCATTGCGGTGTGGGTAATGTTGGTGCTAGCTTTTGACAAGGAAGAATAATGCCTGGAATAAAAAAGACTATCTCTGGTTTGCTGGTGGAGTTGTCTTTTAAAGCCCAAGCTGATTGTCAAGTGTTTCTTTTAACTGTGAGGTGTCCACACTTGAAAAGGACCAGACTTCGGATTTCACTCAGAATAATTTATTTGAATAATTGAACAGGAGTTGAACAGTATAGGTGAAAAACCTTTAAACACAGAAATAAAAAGCATTTTGAATAAACAGGTATTTCCACAGTAAACACAAGTCAAGGTAAATATTTCAAAAACGGTAAGTATATTTAAATTCAATATTATTCTTCACATTTCACCAAACTAATTATGCATTTTAATTAATCTTTAACAAAACAATTTTGGCTTACTATTTAAGCATTCTTTTACACAAATTAGGTAGAAAACCCACACATTTTAACCATATATATCCATGCATTTGAACATAGTTTCTCCCTCTCTTCAACCATGCAGCGACAACTTTAACACACCCATATTAACACCTAAACAGAAAAGATTTAAACAACATTCAAGTGAGCTTACCGATAGCCCGTCAAATCAAAAGTCTCATTCCCCGCAGTGGATGTGTGCTGCTCATTCCGTCATGTCAGTCCCTTTCCACCAGCCAAATGACTGCGTTATATGCTCCCGCTGATTGAAGTGTGTGCGAGCTTCTGATTGCTCAATCTAATTCACCTGGTCGAGGGTGCGCCAGGGCGCGCACGCACGGTCACACGCGGCTGCCGATGCAGAGCGGGGCGGCACGCAGGTGAGACGGCATGCAGGAGGAGGCGGGCACACGGGAGACAGGCGCACCTCTGCCAGATCAGCGCGACACCTCCCACTCGATCTTTACGTGGCGGCGCCCGGAAAGATCGTACTCTCAGGTGGGCTGGTCTCTGACTTGATCCTCCCATGGTATGAGGACCACAAGGCGCCGGACGTCCCGATGCAGTATGGTACTTGATCCAGGATCTGCGGCACCAGGTCTTGAGCTTCTCACAGAGATGCTGGAACTTGGGGAGACTCTCACATGAACATCTCGAACGACACCTCTGAAATCAGGATTTGCGCCGATGACTCTTGCAAGCCTGAACTGCCCTCTCAGTGCATTTTGGTCGCAGAGCCAAACTATGTCTCCAATGGTAACGTTCCTTTCAGCAGTATGCCACTTACTGCGAATGAACAGGTTCGGGCCAGCAAGTTGGCTCCAGGACTTCCAGAAGTTGTTTACTATCGTTTGTACTTCTTTGAGCCTCTTGAATGGGTAGGTGGTGTAGTCGACAGTTTTGAAGTCTCCACTTTGTGTAGCTCGACCAAGCAATAAGTTGTTTGGCGTGATGTACTGGATGCGCTCTTCTCGGCTTTGGACTCTGGCGTCAATGGGTCTCTCATTGGCAAGATTAGCAGCTAGCTGGAGCACTGTCAGGAACTCACTGAAGGTAAGACCTTCTACATTGCCAAGGCTTTGGAGGGCTCTCTTGGTGACTCTGACAGCAGCTTCGGCGGCTCCGTTTCGGTGAGGTGAATCGGCCGGGAGGATTTTCCACATCCAGGTTGTCTCATTTTTGGCAGCATACTCTTCAAGTGACTCTTTGCTCTGTTGATTCAGGTAAGTGTACATCTCTTTAGGACAGGTCTCGCTCCGACAAAGTTCGTACCAGGATCAGACCAGATTTTACGGGGATGGCCTCGGACAGCGGTGAATCTCTGGTAGGTAAGCAGGAAGCTCTCTGTTGATAGTGTGTTTGCCAGCTCGACATGAATGGCTCGGCTGGACATACAGCAAAACACGACGCCCCATACTTTCATGGTCACTCTCTTTTTGACATCATCCTTAACATGGTAAGGTCCAAACAGGTCAACAGACGTAAACTCGAATGGTGCAGCAGGACTAGACCTCTCATCAGGTAAGTTTCCCATTATTTGCTTGCAGGTTCTTGCTTTTGCTTTCTTGCAGACGATACACTTGTCAACGACTTTTTGGGCAATGACCCTTCCTCTGATGACCCACGCCTTTATCCTCATCCGCAGCAGGGTTCCCGCCACACCTTCATGTCCCTTACTGTGTGCTTCTCTGGCTAGCAGGGTAGATAACCAGGCTTGGAAAGGTAGGAGGGGAACAGCTCTGCGGTCTTCTTTGAAGGTCTGGATTCTCCCACCACAAACTAGAAGTCCACTTGTTTGGTCTCTGTAGACGACTAATCTGTCTGTTGTGGTGCCTGGGAAGTTGACGCCCTCTTGTGCTGCTAGGCAAAGGTCTCGAAACACGTCCCGTCTCTCTCTGACTGTAAGGATACCCGAGGATGGTACTGCCTCCCACTTTTCTTGGTCTCTGGTTTTGGCACTTAAGAACTTTTTAGCTGCTCTCCAGATCCAAGCCACAGTCCCAATCAGCCTTCTCAGGTTGCTGAAGCGCTTTCCATCGACTAGATGCCGGACTGCTGCTCCTGCTGGTGGTCTTTCATACTCTAGCTGGGCTGGATTTTGTGCCGTTTTCAGGCGACATCTGGAGAGTAGTGCTACGAATGTTTTTTTCTGGATCCTTGTGACTTTGTCCCGAGCTTGGGCTGCGACGTCTCTGGCGGATTTCTTTGGCCACTCATCGTCAGGAAGTTGGAGGAACTTTGGACCCGACTGCCACTCGGAGTCCTCAGTTAGGGCATCTGGACTGGCCCCTCTAGTGATGATATCTGCGATGTTTGCTGGCCCTGGAATCCACCACCAGTCTTGGACGTCGGTACTGCTCTGGATCTCACCAACGCGATTTGCGAAGAAAGTCTGGTAGCCATAACTCTCACGCTGTATTGCACCCAGGACTGTTTGACTGTCGACAAGATGATACCATTTCTTGACCTGGAGTCGGCAGTGTCTCTGGAAGTAGGTCTTGAGGCGGGCTGCGAAGACTGCTCCGCATATCTCAGCTTTTACAGGATCCCCTTTGTGGTCAAGGGGGGTCAGCTTGGATTTGGATTCGACCAGTCTCACAACGACACCACGGCTGCAACTCCAGCGAAGATACATCACTGCGCCATATGCGTGTTGGCTGCCATCAGAGAATGTGATTGCACTGGGCTCTGCGCAGAGATCTGGTGGAGTCAGGGATCTGGTGAAACGAAGTTGGCTCAGGTCAGCATATTCTTCCAATAGCTTTATAGCGTCTTCTCTGAGACCTTCAGACAAAGCAGCATCCCACGAGTCTTCTAGCCAGTATTTTACCTTGGCTTCTTGAACAGCTCTCCTGACCAAGATGGCACCCTTTTGTTTGACAGGAGTCACAAGGCCGAGTGGGTCATACAGGCTAGAAACCTGGCTTAGCAGCTCTCGTCTGGTGAGTGGATCGGGTGTTTGATTTCTGACCTCCTGTCTGAGCAGGTTTTGACCAAGGCGCATCTTTCTCCTTTTCTTTGAGAAGTTAACTGCAACCATGACATGGAGTTTGTCGTCACTGATGGTGTAACCAAGGCCAAGGGCTTTGTTGTCGTCTTTTGTCAGCTGGTTTGGTAGGATCATAGTCTTTGGTATCTCATCCTTGGGTTCTTTCCTCCCACCTTGAATGGAGTAAACCCAGGGCTTTATGTGGAATCCTCCAGCTTTCAGGATGTGTTTGATGTTGGCTGTGAGGCATTTCAGATGGTCAAGGTCGTTATGTGAAGTCAGGATGTCGTCGACGTATACATCTTCTCCCAGCACGCGTCTCTCTTCCTTGAAGTGGCTGAATGAAGGTAAGTTCGCAGTTTCTCGCATGGCGACTTGGGCTATGCAACCGGCAGGTTTGTCTCCGATGTTGACTCTTGTTATGGCAAAATCTTCTATTTCGGCATCTTCACTGTCACGCCACAGGAATCTGTGCAGGTGGACCTCCGATCTTCCAGCCAGACAGAGTTGTACATCTTCCGGATGTCTCCAAGGGCAGCGTAGACACCAGTTCGGAACCTCAATAAGACAGCTCGGATTGGGTTCAGGACATCAGGACCTTTGATGAGGATGTCGTTCAGACTGAGACCTCTGCACTTTTGGCTGCTGTTCCACACTAGTCTGACTGGGGTGGAGACTGAGTGTGGGTTTAGTGCAATGAGATGACTTATGTACCACACTGGCCCGGTCCAACTCTGCAGAATGTCTTTGGACAGCTTCATTGCGGCCCTGCGGTTCACCATCTCATGGATCTGTGCAGCGTAGGCCGCCTTCCACTCAGGTTCTTTTGATAGCTGCTTCTCAGTTCTGAGGAATGTTGCCTCTACTGCTTTCCTGTTGTTTGGCAGGGTTGCTGGATCTTCTGTCCACGGATACTTAGCATGCCAGTGTGGTTCGATGCTGTGTACATCTCCAGTCGTGTATGTCAAACCATTTCTTATGATCTCCATCTCCCTTTCTTCTGCAAGAGTTATCTCCTTTCCCCCTGGCTGGCAGTTCCCGCAGCGACACCCTCCACATCTCGGCTGACAGGCGGCTCCGATGCTCTCCCACCTCCACCACTTCAGAAAGTCTTTGCTGCTGGTGGCTGTGTTAGACTGGGTCTCGGGGTGGTCGGGATACTGGCAGGAAATTGGGTCTGTCTTGAATTCGAGATATTTGACTGCTGAAGTTCTCATTGATCTGGCGAAGTGAGTCTTGGACGAATGGGCCATCAGGGTGACTTCCTCAAAGAGGTCTGAATGCATGCCCCCGACTGTCTTGCCTAGTGGACCCTCCCAGAGCACCAGGTCACCAATTGAACGGATTTTTTGGGGCACCAGCTGGCCTTCTTTGTGGCTGATCAGAAGCTGGATTTCTCTGGGTCTGATGAAGTCTTTGAGGGGAACATCAGGAAAGATTTTCTGCAGCTTGTCAGGTTGAACATGTCGGTGCACCTCTGCAATTTTGTCAAGTCCGTAGCAGATCAGTTGGTGAGACTTCAGAGTTCCTTTTGGAGTCCTGACTCTGATCTTGAGGAGGTAGCGCTTTGTAGCGACAGATACTTTCATCCCTCCGACGCCATGGACGACTAGTGCGACATCTTCACTGCGAAGGTTCAGCTTGCTTGCAGCTCTGTGGGTTATGTAATTTGTGTCAGACGCCAGGTCAATAAGTGTTCCGATTCTTTGCCCGTCATTGGCAGTGACGTTAAGGAGCATCAGGATCACAGGGTACTCGTGCAGACCAGTCTCCTCCAGAAGGCCTCTCTCTCCTCTCTCTGCTGCAGTGGAGTTGTATGCTCGAGATGCGATGTTGCAGAAAGCATTGCGACACTGCTGCGCTAGCTCAGGTGAAAGTTTGGAAAGAAACTCTTCCTGGGCCTCGGTGTAATTTTTCCCCTCAGCTCTCACCGGACCAAACTTGGGTCTTTGGGACAGCTGTCTGGGTAAGGGACAGAGAAGGTAGTGGTGTTGGTCTCTGCACTCTGGATTCCCACACAGGTAAGTAGTTTCTCTGCAGGGTTCATTGTGGATTTCGAGGCACCTCTTGCAGGCTCCGAGCTGTTGCACTGCGTCCCTCTTTTCCTGGAGCTTTGTGGTGGTTCTAAACCTCCTGCAGATGTAGAGCTTTCTTTTGTGTTTTGGATCTCCGCAGATGATGCAGCCTCCTAATTCACTGCTGGATTTAGTTGTCCTTGTTCGGGCATGCTTTGTTTGAAACCTGGTCTTCTCCTTGGCAGGGTCGATGTCTCTCAGCTGTTCTAACTGCTCGTAGATAGACTCTTGGGATTGGAGGTATGCCAGTAGCTTGTCAAAGCGGTTCTGGTGGCTTACAGCATTTCTTGGGTCAGCAGCGTGGGTAAGCCAGTCTTTCTTCAGGGACTCTGGCAGCTTGCTCTCGATGGATTTTATTACTAGTGGGTTTTTTATGGCATCTGCATTGCTCAGTTCATTTAAATCATAGAGGGCCTTTTCCACTGCTTGGATGAGCTCTACGATTCTTCTTGGGTGGTTACCACGAACAGGTGGGATAGCTTGTAGCTCCTCGACAATCTCAATAGCGATGGTGGCTTGGTTTCCGTAGCGGTTCTCTAGGACTCTGAAGATCTCGTCTGCTGAGGTGTAAGTAGAGAGCCGTAGATCCTTGGCCACTCTTTCGTCGAGGCTATCAAGTAGTTGAAATTTCTTCACCTCTTTGGATCCGGTTGGTTCACCTTGCTTCTGTAGAGCCTCCCATTCTTTCCTCCATCTGTAATACTCACGCTGGCTGCCGGTAAACTTTGGTAAAGCTGTGGCTTTTAGCTTTATGGCTGCAACAGGGGCTGCGCTGTGGGCTGTGACAGGTACTCTGTTGCTGTCCTCTTTAATACTTGCTGCTCCAATCAGGGCGGCCTTCCTCGACACCAGCTTGGGAAGGAGGGTTTCGAGCTCCGTTAGCCGACGATTGAAATCTTGCTTCTCGGCTCGTGGAGCCCAGCGGTTCCAGGTCTGGTGCGCTTCTTTGGCTTTGTGCACCAGGCTCTCTAAATGGCGGAGCATAAAGTCATATGCCTCCAGGGGTGTGTCAGGCTGAGTGGAGGAGACGTCCTCACACTCTGCCTCACACACCCCTGGAGGCATATGACCTTTCCTTCCTTTTCAAGTGTGGACACCTCACAGTTAAAAGAAACACTTGACAGTGAAAAACCGATAGCCCGTCAAATCAAAAGTCTCATTCCCCGCAGTGGATGT